AATTCGAGGGAAGCGGAGATTATGTCGACCCCATCCTTCACCGCCATGTCGAAGCCGGCAAGAATGTCGGAACTCGAGCAGCCGTAAACATCGCATACTCTGTATGACACGATTCGTGCCTTGGGCGCGACTCCGACGGCCGTGCCGCTCGCGTCTTCGGAATAAAACACGTTCTTGACGGCACGTCCTGCGGCCGTGGACGCCGTGTGCGTGCCGTGACCTCCGTCCATTCCTTTGGTAATGTACCGAACGCCAAAGAGTTTATTGTTGCAGTACCGAGACCCATTTACCGCGCACTCGCCTTTCCATCTCTTGTCGTCTTTGAGGGGTATGAGGCCACCGTCGTTGAAGCTAGGGTGGTCGGGCTTGATACCGTCGTCCAGGAATCCGATGATGACGTTCGAGCCATAATCGGATTCATACAACAAAGGCCCAGCAACGGTGTTGTAAGTATCACCGTATAAGCCCATGAAATAAGGTGTTCGGGTCGTGTGTAAGTTGTAAACTCGGTCGGGAAAAACGGAAACGACCCCCGGCCACTCCTCAAGCTGTTGGGCTTGCCGAGGTGTCAGTTTAGCGGAGAAGCCATGGAAAACTGTGTCGTAAACATGGACTAGTTTTGATGAGTTTGAAGGATTGTTGTTATTATAATTCGAGGAGTCTTGGAGGCTTTCAAGGGTGGCTTGGTACCAGTGTCGGACCTCTACAAACACTGATGGTTTCATGGTATTTTGGACTCTAACAATGTATGTTTTAACATCTTCTACATGATAAGGATGAGCAAACAATGCGAGTGAGAGAGAAAGAAAGAGAACAAGATAGCCAACAATATTATGACCCATCTTTTTTCAAACAGCTACACTACTATGTAATTAATGTGATGTATGTATTAATTCTCTTCTAAGCTCAAATTTTATATAGAGACTAGAGTACTGTAAAGAGTGTGCTGACCACATAAAGAAAATATTCCTATATATTAATACAGAACGCGCTGAGCTTACGTGGCTGCTTCTGGTGTTTCGAAATCCTATGTGACAAAATTACATGATTCGTTATTAGGCTTGGGTAAATTTTAATTTAATTCCAAACCAAAAATAATTAGGTTCAGATTACCATAAATATGTTGATTATTTATGGTCATGTTACATGTATTAATTGTATTTTAATACCATTCCTTATTATAACTATTGAATTGTATATATATTTTAAAAGTTAATAACTTTTGTATTTTTTATCAGTTTTACATATCCATATTGTATGTATAAAAACATAATTTATATTTATCTTTATAACAATAATAAAATTATTTTTAATATTAATTAGAAAAATAAAATTAATTATCAACTAATATATTTATATTTCAAGTAGTTATATGATATAAGTTATAAAAACTAATATAATATAACACATGTAAGTCATAAGTAACATATCATTCTAAAATATGTAGTAATATATTTTTATTTTTGTAAAAAAGTAAACTAAATTTAATATAGTTTTCTCATTAATTTTAAAATTTAAGAATAATTTTTTAACAAGCACCCGTGTAATACACGGGTGTTGTACTAGTTATAGGTTATATATGTATATACTATTTAAAAACAACTAGCACTCGATATTGTGCACATTTACACATAATGCAATGAAAATATTATATGTTATATATATTATTTAAAATTGTATATATTATTTAAAATGCAATGATATACATTTATAATCTTATTATAGTAAAAATGAACAGCATAAATATAAATCTATGACTAAATACGAATTATTGTATTAATGGTATAAAATGTAAACGACAGTGAATTTTTATAATTATTTAAGGGGGCATGATTAATTAAGTTGCTTGAAAAAATTTAATATTATTTTTGCCTTTTTTATAAAATTATTTATGTGATTTTAAGGGGTTTGATTATATCATTAAAATCAATTATTTAAAGGAAAATCGCTTAATAAGATGAAAAAATAATGATGGTTGTAAAATAATACTTGAAGCAAAAGTATTGCAATAAATGTTTTTGTGAGTATAGTAAATTTCATATTATTTAATGTAAATTTGTAATTTGTTATTATTACAAGTAATTATTATATAATAAAATATTAAAATATATTATTAAACATTAATTTAAAAATATCATGAACAAAGGTATTGCGATAGATTTTTTATTTTTTTTTTTATTTTTTTTTTTTTTGTAAGTATATAACTTTAATATAAAATTTAATGATAATTTAGACTAGCCTGACAAATGGAATCATAAAAACTATGGTCAAACTTTGAAAGTGTATTTGGTTGAAATGCGTAATTGTGTTTGTTTAATAATGTAATATTACTTATTTTGTACCCATTGAGTTATAATAATGTTTGGTTGAGAATGTCAAAAAAATGGAATATAATGTGATTTCCAATATTAACCCTGTTTTCTATAATTAACCCATTGTCTTTCTCTCACTATTATCATTATATAAGAATAATAATTAATAGTTGAATTTAAGTAGCAAAAGCAATGTTATATATTTTCCTTTTCGAATAATGCTATAAGTAAATAATATTGTACATAGAGTTGTGCATAACACTCATATCGGGTGGATCCACCAAAAATAAAAAATCAAGTGAACCCCACTCGATGTGAGTGTTATAATGTACACATCTATATATATTTATTATTTACTTGTATCATTTCATTTTTCCTAATAAAGTAATGCTATAAGTACAATCTATTATCGGCTCTTACATCTTTTAACTTATTACAACTAACAATAATTAAGGGTTCTTACATCCTTAAGTTTCCATTACAAACTCTATGAAAATTAAATGACTAATTTCAATAAACTATTTCAAGTTTTGAGAAAATAAATACAACATGAATATCTGCTAAGCATATAGAATATTCCTACCTAATCAAAATATACAAATTCAATGTTTAGTCAAAAAATCACAATCACAACATACTCAGTACATTCCCAACAGGTTGGGGTCTGGGAGTCAGTTGTACGCAGATCTTACCCTTGTAATTTACAAGGAAGCTGTTTCCGTAGCGACCCAAAGTTTATTTAACTTTTTTTAATAAAAATAGATAATCACGCTGGATAGTTTTTCTATAAAGGATAGAGAAAAATATGATAACAATGATAAGATATATATAATGTAATGACAAAAAGTCTACATGTATATTCTAAGTTTAAGTTGTTTGTATGCCAAAACTTTTTAAGCTTTAGCTACTTGAGTGTCCTCCGCCTTTTAGACTAGCCTGAAAAATAGAATTATAAAAACTCTTGTTATTAGCTGCATGACGAGGCTCGGTCAAACTTTGAAAGTGTGTTTGGTTGAATGCGAGATTGTGTTTGATATTATCATAAGTGGGCTGCCGTAGTGAGTATCCACCATACTATATCGCTATTATTGTGTTTGAATCTAGTCTGATTGTTGGTGGCGACGTGAACCGACAGCTGTTGCAGCGGCTCTTTGGTTCCGGAGGTCAGAGGCTGCCGGCGGCAATGAAGTAATGGCGACTGTGCGATGTGTGTGTCTTTTGCGTGCGTGGAAGTGTATTCAGAGTGTGTGTTTGTGTGTGTGTGTGTGTGTGTGTGTGAGAGAGAGAGAGAGAGAGGGAGATAAATTATACTGTTATTGGTGGGGCCCACGTGGATGGTGGATGAATGTGCAGTGACCAGAATGCCTTCACTAAGTGGGCAAATTTGTACATATGACCACAATATGCACACTTATTTAAGATATTGTCATTGACTATTTGACCATTATTTAATAAAATGACTCCATCATGACCATTGGTATCCTTAATCCAATAGTACATATTTATTCTTATTTTTTTCACTATCTATCATTCGCATATGAACCCAACTCTATATATAGGGTTGTTTCAAATGAAAACTAAGTCTGGTGTGAGAACTGTGAGAATCATATTTGATGCTATTTTTAATTGTGTATGATGCTATTTTTAATATTGCATGATGCTTTCATTTTCACAAATGCTAATAAAAGTTTTATTTCTATTTTTAATAAAATACAT